TACAATAAGGAATTCATCCAATCATATTATTGAAATTAAATAATAGAGGATGAAAAATTATCGAGTTCAATACAATGAATAGATCGAGAAAGTAACCAAGATAATTATTGTTCTCTGGTACCCAAATTCAACAAAGATTTTCAACTCTTCCTTGATTGATTGTATATATTTCGACCAATTATGTTTTTCAATCTTCAACTGGGAGGTACAATTCTTGAGAAGTTTACGTATATGGATGTTTAACCCCTGTTTGGTGATCATTATTTACCAAAATTAATGTTTTTAATAGTGAATTTTTTTATAATATGTGGTTAAAAAGTAGAAAAAAATTTAAGTTTACATACAGAATATTTTAGTGCTAATTGCAGTAGTGATCCCAAACCTTTGAATTTTTCGTAAATTTTACCTTAACCTTCTTTTTGTACCACGTACAATACCAAACTTTTCAAAAATTAGCATATGGGGTCTCAATGGATGATTTCTATTAGTTTGAGTGTTAGATGACCCAATAAATTGACTTTGACCATTTTGAAAGGGGTAAAATAGTAATTTTGAATTAAAAAAAAACAAAAAATCAAACATACAATCACTATCCATCTTCTCCTTCCCACCCCCACGCCCACACCCCACCTATTCCTAAACCCAAAAACCATCAAGCAACCACCCCCACTCCCTGTTGTACCACCCCCATTGCCGGCAACATTCATGCGATTTACTGTAAATCCAACTTTAGTCGCCGCTGCAATAAACCAAGAGCCATAGAAGAACAAAACATAAGTTCACCATCGCCGACCACCCATCCCATCCCATGTCGATGACCACCATCCCCCACCTCTCCCTCACAGAAACCAAACTAACCACCGACCTGCCACCCATCCCACCCCGTGCCGACAAGTCTATTAAGCTTTGGAATACTTTGGGTGAATACAAGTAAACTATTCAAGACAGCGATGCCCACTCTGACTGGGTTTCTTGTGTTCGATTTTCTCCCAATACGCTTCATCCGATTATAGTTTATGGGCCGTGGGATAGGACGATGAAAATTTGGAATTTGAGTAATTGTAAGTTGAGATTCACCTTTGCTGGGCATACCGAGTAAGTTAATACGGTGGCTATTTCGCCTGATGGGTCCCTATACGTGAGTGGTGGGAAAGATGGGTTGTGCTGCTACTGAAGCCAATATTAAGATTTGGGACTTGGGTTTGTTGGCTTGTGAGGAAGACGAGGGAAGAATTAGGGAGGAGATGTTGGCGGGAACATTGGCAAAGTTGGTGGAGGAGGCAGTGAGGTGGTGGCGGCGGGGAAGGGTAATACAACCCACTTAGTTTTGGGTTTAGGAGGACGTAGGGGTGTGGGTGTGGGATGGAGAAGAAGAATAGTGATTGATTTTTTATTTTAGTTTTTCAATTTTAGTTCAAAGCTATCATTTTACCCCTTTTAAAAATGGTTAAAGTCATTTTATTGGGTCAACTAACGAAAATCATTCATTTGGACCCCATGTGCTAATTTTTAAAAGATTTGGAATTGTGGATAACACGGTAAATGTTAAGATAAAGTTTGCAAAAAATTCAAAAGTTTGGGACAGCTGTTTCAATTATCTCAATACTTTATTATATGAATGTGTGATTGAAAATAATATGAGGGAAAAAAAATTTAATTTAAAGGCCATCAAACATTGGCTTAATTTTACCTCAAAATTGTATCTGTAGCGTCCCCTTTATTTTTCCGTGAACAATTATATTTATAAACCTTACTTTAGGTCTATTTCGTGCTCAAAAGTGAAAGGAAAGTTTGATAATAATTAGGAGTTCTGAACTAAGGGCCTGTTTGGTATGACTCAAAATTCAATTAAAATTGAAAATATAGTCGTTATTGGGTCTCAGTCATCTAATAAAAGTCAACAATAACGGCTAGTTTTTCAATTTTAATTCAATTTTTATCTCTACCAAACACCCTCTAAGTATATGGACTGCGATAGCATAGGTCTGAAGATTGGGGACTCGCGATGTGAATACTGAATTCTGTTAGTTGTTCTGGCCATGTCCTCCTTTATTTGCACTACAAGTCCTTTTACTTCCAAATTGATATATTAGTCCTCAATTGCAGATTTTATCCAACTTTAATCATTTTTTGATAGATTCTTATTCCTTCTCGCCCGATCTTATCTAATGCCGAATTTTCTCCAAAGTAATCAATTGACAAGTATAATTAAGCATCAAATTCAACATAAATACTTCCAAATGTGGCTTTTAAAGGCCAATATAAGTGTAATATCGGTACACATAATTAATTATTTTATAAATTACGTGATTGAGAATTAAGAGATAGCTATTGTGAACTCATGAATACTAATACTTTAACTATCATACAAAATCATAACTTTTTCACTTGCTCATCTTTTTATTGTTTTAGTATATCTTTAGTTTGTAGGATAAAAATTAAAATCAGTCGTTTTCAATCGAATTGAAGTTACAAATAGTTAAATAGTAATCCTTTTGAGAATGATAATATGAACTCTTTGATTCATTTTTTATTTGTTCGTAATATCGTACACTTGCTATACTAGTGATGGCAACGAACCAAGTCGAGCTGACTTGTGAACCCATGCTTGGAGCTCGGTATCAACTCATCAAAAAAAGACTCAAATTCCCAAAAAATGGGGCTGGTTCAAGCTTTGGCTCGAGCTTTTGTTAAGTCGAATCAGCTCACGAGCTTTTCGATTTTTCACTCGAATATACGAAGAATTGATAGTTAATTTAAAAACTACAAAATTAATTATGCAAACGAGCCCACATACGCGCCGTCCCTATTTGGGTGTGGCTCGCAGGTCAATTCAAGCTCGAACTTTTTTCGAGTCGAACCACTGGCCAACTGAGCCAACGGGCTCATTTGCCACCACCTTGCGATACAAATCAGGCAACATCGGCAAAGCGACAAATAGCACGTGGAGGAATGCATTAGACCAAAATCAGTTTTCTCTATCCAAACTTCGGAATAATATTTCCAGCGCAATGTACTACTTTCTCAAACACGACAGCTCTGAGGTTATAAATTTTTTCCGTCTTTCGCCTACAAGAGATCACGCATTCCCTTTTATAGTTTTGCGCCTTTTGGCAACTTCAGAGAGAGAATAGTTAATTTCACTATGAGTGTATTTGATTGACTTTATTTTGCATGAAAAATATCATTTTTTTCATCCAAATTACTACTATTTTGGTGTTTTATTGACAAAATTTCCTTGGAAAATATTTTCCAACCTTTAGTCACGTAACCACATTTTCCTCTGAAACAAGAAAAACATTTTTTTTGGGGAGGTGTAGTTTTTATTTTTCCAGATAATTCTGTCTCTCTTTCTCTCTCTCATCTATCACATCTCTCTCATCTACCCACCAACAAAAAATAAACAAGTATAATATTTTTTAAATTGAAAACAAAATCAATCAAACACATTTAGCCCTTGTATGAGCCCCATTTTGGGGTTAAAAATGTATTTTCAAATAGTGTTTTGAGGAGAACGTGTGATTAAAAAATAAGAAAAAAATCGATTTATGTTTAAATTTATTTTATTGAAAAATATGTGATTGAAAATGAGTTTTGAAAAAAAATGAGTTTTTGATAAAATGGGGCTCAATTAATGGCTTAATTAATAATTTTCATACAAATAAATTCTAAGCAATTAATTAACTAGGATTTATTATCTTTCCATGCAAATTTCCTGCATGCAGTCAAACTCACTATAATGGTAATTAACATTCAGGAAATTCTAAAAAATTGGTTATGTAACACATTTATATACTAAAATTAACTTTTGTTATATAATTGATAATTCTATTTGCATGATAGATTAATCTATTTGTACATTCTTTCTTGACATCTTGGATGACATTCCCTTATATGTAGAAAATTTGGCCATTGATTGAAAAGAATGTTGTTAAAATCATTGTACAAAAAACTGTAACTTAAACAATGCCATTTATAATGTCAAAATTGATGTACACCAAGCAAAACTCTTGTCTGATTGACGTCATATATGACATGTTGACATTGACCTCCGAGGTAATTAAGGTCGGATCGATGCCTTCTGGAGGAAGCCTGTGTAATCTCCCAATGCATAAGATATTGTAATGATGAGGGATCTCTGACAGGACATATGAGCAACCAATTATGGAAATACATCTGGAAAGGTCTTACATCATTACCCCCATAGTCCTCCAATTAAAAGTGTTAGCTGCCTCCTCTAAGTAATGCATTAATTATTGGGGCCCACCTACCATTAATATTCTGAAGAGCTCTGACAAGATCCAGTTCGGAAACCAATCCCGTCGCACCAATCATTGTACTTCTTCAGCTCGGAATTGCAGTGAAAAGACAGGAGGTGTGGTATGCATGCATACGATCCCTATAAATAGGGATCCGCAACCTCAGGAAGAGGCAGGTGAATACAAACCCACAAAGACCCTTAGCATATTTTCCATATTTCAAATATCTCCTGTAAAACATGGAAGTATCAAATTCTTACAAAAACTTGCATATCCCATCAAGAATTTGGGATATCTTCCCCCTAGTTGGCTTAAATCTTGTTCATACGATTTTTAACGTCAACATGACGTAATAAGTGTTAAATCTTTACATCAACTAATGATCATCAAAGCGATGAAAAATAAGATTAGAGTCAATGGAGTTATTTGAAATTTCCTAATTGAAATCACGTTTTACTTTGAAAATCAATAATTTCACAATATGGACACAACAATATGCAAAGGGTCAATGAGTCGATGTTGAATTTGGAATGGATCGAAGTAAATGAGTCACCAATTATGTAATATTATTTAACTTTAATGATTAAATGAATCACGAAAATACTTTCATCGCCATTTTGAAATTTTTCTTGAACTTCAGTGACCATTTGTGCAATTATCTCTTGGAAGAAGAAAATAAAGCAACTGCCAGTTCTGCGTATTCTTCTCTTTCAAGGAAGGAAAGATCAATAGTAAACAGAAATGCTAAACTGTTACTTTCAGTACGGTATCGTGGCATTCGTTGCGATCTTCACAATTATCAGCGAATCGGACGGCAGGGAGATCCGTCCATCGGACCACGGCTTAGCCTACCAAGATTCTTCACCGCCGATTAAAGCGAACGGAACCGAAGAAATGCTATATTTCTTCGGTGCAACGTCTTCCTCCTCCGTACCACTACCGAAGGCCAATAATCTAAGCGATCCGGCCACATGGTGGAGCAAGCACAAGGTTGGGAGGTCGAGTGGAGATCACGTGAAGAGGTCAATGCTTGTGGCCAGCTTAATCTGTGGACTAACCGGCGTCGCGTTGCTTTCCGTCGCCGGGATTCTATTTCTCATTCGCCTCCGAAAGCAGAATAAGCAAAAATTATCAACCTCGTCAGCTCCAACTTCTGCGCCTAATCCTTTTGCTCGAAAGTAGTAAGTATGACTGTATTATTTCAACAATTTAGATTAAATAGTGAAATGTTTGTTGTATTCCCTAAATATATTTTGAAATTATTTCCCCGTTGATCACTGAAATCGATTATGTGACCAATAAGTAGTGCATTCCATTTAAAATTAGCCAAGGTACAATTTCAAAGAAATGGAAAGATAGTCACTAATAACATTTATATGCGACTGAGATACATATAAAACTAAAATGATCAATTGAATCGAAAAAAAAATTTGTCATTTTAAGAATCAAATTTACAAGTGTCCAAGGTACTTATTGTGGTTGGGAAGGTACAGCACCTTGTTACAAATTTGGAATGATCGTAAACACCATTAGCTTCTGTAATTAAGATCAGAACCCAGTAAGATAATGGACCATTTCTGCAATGATATTATTTGTTAAAGAATACAACATCATGTATGTGCAACTTCCAATGAAAAATTCATACAATATGAAATTTATTTCTGAATGCCTATAGGAAGAAGGAGAAGAAGGAAAAGAAGAAGAAATATATAATTTAAGCATTTATATACACCTATTGTTCAAGAGAGATCCACTCTAGCTCCAGTTCTAATTCTCCAGATTCTACATTCTGGAGCTTCAGTGATAATTTCTGTTTCACCTTCCCATCAACGATGTTTACTGTGCTATCTTCTATCAGGGCATTGTCGTGTGATTTCAGCCATTTCCCAATCTGCATGTTTCCGAACATTCCAGCATCTCCGAAAGCCATTGCAGAGGTTATTATTGGCTGAATGTCTATTTCGGCTTCCCCCATTATATCATCAGCAGAGAATGTGTCGTAATCAAAAACTTGCTGCGATTTTGGAGTTTAGAGAAGTCAAAAGTTTAGATAAAATGAGATATCCAGGAGCAGTTGATGGATGGTGATTGTTGCCATGCATGAATGTGTGCATATACTGAATGCTTATATATGAAGAGAAGAATGCTGAGCAAGTACACATGTATGAAACAAATACAAGAAAATAACAAGAAAAATTGTTTTCCTGATTAAGAAAATGGAAAAGAACAGCAAGAGAAGGATTTACCAATTTTATGGGGCCACAGTTTTGTGGAACTGAGAGCATGAGTTCCTCATTCCAGACAGGATTCAGATTGCTCTTAACCACAGCCGTTTGTGCTTTCTAATAACAGACAGAAACAGCATGAGAGAGCTTAAAAATCTTGACAAGAGCGAATTAATAGTTTACCAGCACTAGTCAAGAAGTCCGAATTGTGAAACAAGAACATAAGCAGATCTTGTTGGCAAAATTTTCACCAGCACTGTTACTGCTTTCTTTGCCCTGTCCCAAAATCGAACAAAATGAGAGATTTACTAACCTGCTGCCCCAGGGTCAAGATCACGTAAGGATCGCTAGATAGCATATCTCGAATAGCTAAGTTTGTGCCTTTAAGTACTTTGACCTTCAACATTCCAATAAATTCAACCATGCCATCCTGTGATCAGATTGAGCATTAGCTTCACAAAGAGTAAATTTCTTATACACACAGACGATGGTAAAAACTGCATCATCTAGATGAGACTTTTCTATCTCAAATAGTATGTCATATCTGCTTAAATGGTATCCGTTCTACATAATTTATTACGAGATTCTCCAAACTGTTGCAAATAAATGTGAAGAGAGGCAGCATGTAAACCATAATAAAAAATTTGTGTTCGTCAAATCAATTTATGTTCGTTATAACACCAAACAAGTTGAACTGAAACAAAAAGTGTGTGAAACGAAAAGGAAGGAAGTGGAAGGGTGCAAATAAGCAAAGACAACTTACTGATTTCTGTGATGAACTTGAGCTTCGAAAATTATCCATAATCTTCCTGGATAAACTTACTTGCAAAGAATTCTTTTTTGAAGTTGACGCAATACGTAGGCTAGGTTTCAAAAATTCTTGAAGCTCATACTTAGACCTAAAAGGTTAAATATAGAGCAACATAAATTATCCAACCTCAATACATTGTCAACAGTTTCATCTATGTGTGCAAGCTAATTGCTAACAAAGTTTTCTCTTATGTTTAGACCTTCGGTGAATGCATAAAGAGATCCAAGAGATGGAAAAACAAGCTTTTGAGAGAAGAACAGCCAAGTTGATATTGTTGAAGCAAGAATAAAATGTTTGATCAGGGAGACTAGCTCAATCTCAAATCATCAATATTTACCAGATGGGTATTCAGTTTTTAAATTTTTTTTTTTTTCCTTTCGGTTCATTGTTGTGGGTTGGGGGGTCTTCATCAAACAGGAAGGGGGGGAGAGAGAGAACCATCGCATCTGAAAGGCCTAAAAATCTTAGTGTTTATACATTTCATCTGACCTAATAAATTTTGAACGCTGTTCGTGGCTAGCATCTGGTCTAGGCTTTGAGACTCCTTCAGGAATATAGGCTTCGTAAATTGAATTTGCAGAAGCATTTCCACCAACCTCAATCATTGCTTCGATTTCATCATCTGACCATTCATCTAATGTCACAGACAAAACCTGCAGGATTCCCAATTATGTTAGGTATGAATATACACTAAAGATGGGGTATGAATATACACTAAAGATGGGATACAAAAGATTTCTGAGTAGTCACCTTCGAAATATGAGTACCAAGACTTCTATGCACTCCGCAACACTTTAAGCAAATAAATACTCCAATATTTGCCGACCTAAAATGGAATGACAATTCTAAAAATCGCTGAAAGGGGAAAATAAAGAAAACCACACAACAATATAGAAAATAAAAAGCAAAATATTTCATTCATTCCTCATTACAGCAAAAATGGTTGGATCCAAGACAATGTTCTCTCTTGGAAAGCTCTAAGCATCAATCTTGTTACACATTCTTGCTCATAGCCATAACTACAGATCAGAATGCATGCACTCCATGTTCAGATTATATTTACCAAAGAATTTGCGCAGTCGTAGCATGCACATGAATTCATAACAAATTAGTAAAAAGGCTCGATAAGGCTCATCTATCACTTTAAGGAGGTTATAATGTAATCTGTACTATTCATACTCCTACCAGAATCACTTGTTAAATCACCTTTTTTGGGGGTCTTGTTTGGTTATGGTTCAAGGACGCATTCTACTGATACTGAATAATATGCATGTCTCAACATTATATTTCTCTATCCTTTTATTTTTTACTTTTTCCATTAGTTGGCTTTATGTAGGTGAAAGTAATATTCATTAATTCTGTTATTCCATGTTTATGGCATCCAAAGGCTTCCCTTCTTCTTGTTGAAGCTATTTGACAAATATTCAGAACGAAAACATATTATCACGGTTGATCTTCTTGGCAATAGATATAGTAAGGCTTGAAAAATACTCTCCTTTACGAACAGTGGCAAATGAGAAAAAGTGAGCTTGACACTCGGATACAGAAATATTGGCAAGTGCCGCAACTACTCAGATTTTCTCATGGCTCTCATATTGTTACAACTATAATAATCTATGGAAACAAACAACAGTGTATGAATCCAAAGGAGGAACTTACGCCCATTTTGGGTCTGGAGCATTACAATCTGCGCACACACGATTTTCTCGTAGAACCAAGAGATCTTTCAATCTTCTTTTACCTGTACAGACAGTGCCAAGAAAAAGAAAAAAGGAGAAGCTGAGAACTTACAACAAAACTACAATGGCAAAATGGGATGATGAAATAGATATAAAGTACGTTTATGTTATTGTTGCATGAATCTACATAAATAACGAAATAAGTTGGAATATTTATCTGTTTGTTAAATAATCAGCATGTGCACATTAGCTGTTGGTCATGAAGTGGAACAAACTACCACATAGTGCTTGTGAAGCGTAACTTTAAAGAAATCAAAGAATTCAGAAACTAATGCCTACAGCAAGGAAGAAAGAAAATGATAATGTAACGATCTAATTGTATCCCATGTCGCTCATGAAAGGCCAAGTCTGCTTTGTGAATTTACAAGCACTTTGGACACACTCCCCCCTTACAAGCCAGTAGAATTCAACCTGAAGTGGCTGTTACCGTTAAATGAGTTGTATAGAATTTTAGGCTTCAAAAACAATGATGAATGGTACACACAAATCGATTGGACGGCACCAGTTTCCATGATTGGCACGTGCGATTTCTTAAGTCAAAATGCTAAATTTTTCCATAAACTCTCTTATCTCAGGACAATTTTACAAGCAAACTTAAGTAAATCCACTCAAATATGTGCCAAAATGCGGACGAAAACTATTGCAATTTGAACTGGAAGCTACAATATTGCAAATTCCAGGAGACAAAAAATAATACCTGAAGATGGCCTCCCCAGTGCTGATTGATTATAACTCATTGCTTTGTTAATACGCCTTTATCATTCAACTATATAATCTTTATTAAGAACCAATCTACACACCAAAAAGATAGAATCAGAATATTCCCTAATTATTTTGTGCATTCGTAGTTACATTCAAATTCAACAAAGAACATGGCACAATTGATTCTTAACATCAGACTCGGCAAATTCAGAAAACGTGTTTAATAATCATATCTAAATTATAAGAATCTGAATTTTCCGCGCATAAATCAAATGAAGAATGCAAAAAAATTGATCTGGATTTATATAAACACGTACAGATTGAACTTTCATTTGAATTGAACGTCTTATGATAAAAAAATGAAGAATTAATCATTGGGTTTAATCCAAATCAAAATTCGAATTAAAATTCAGTTATATAGAGCGATTCAAAAGGAATCCAATTCCAATTATTGAAACCGCTAATATTTTAGCTGAAAAGTAATGAAAGATCCCAGAGAAGAATGTGAGAATTGTACCTGTTCCCGAGTTGGAACAGAAAAAAAATAGAAATTGCAGAGGCAGAGGTAGAGGTCGAGGTCGAGGTCGAGAAGGGAAGAGAGAAGAATATATTGTCAAAATCAAGGGCTGTATAATTTCAAATAAACGGCATAACTGCATTTTTCTCTTTTTTGCCCTTTTTGATGAGACACGTATTCCTATCGAA